AGCCAAGGAAGTACAGCCTCTCTGGGGCTGGTGTCACAAGACACTTCCCCTCTCCTCTGGATTCCAGCAGGGTACACCTCACTCCACCCTGTGTCACACGACCACTCAGACCATCCTTACTCCAGGAGCCCACAGTTAGAACCAGAATATTGGTGTGACGATGGCTGACATGGGACAGCTCCAGGAGGGACTGGAGCAGCCCAGGTTGAATACAATCCTCAGTTACCTCCTCATAACGCATCTTCCTCGTGAGTGCTCATGCAGAGTGAGCCCTGTTTCTGGGGAGACGATGTCTGGAAAACACGAGCCTGAGTTCCCTTATTCTCTTCTCCCCAGTCCCACTGCACTCTGTCTGCAGAGGCCTTCCCAGCAGGTGGGAGAGAAGTGGCACGGTCGGGGAGTGTGGGGTTTAAACACACTGCTCTCTCCAGCCATGACTCGTGGGTAATGTGTGGCAGGAACCTGGTGAGGAGAAGGAATGAGGACGTGTCCCACCCATGCAGGGTTATGGAGCACTGCATTTGTGCAAGAGCACTGACATCCACAGAAACCCCTGAGGCAGCTTGAAGAAGGAGACCCCCCCCCCAGAGAGACAAATATTGGACTTTAAATTATTTTAGCTGGCTGCAGTGACTCACATCTATAATCCCAGCACTTTGGGAGGCCGAGGTGGGTGGAACAAGAGGTTCGGAGTTCGAGACCAGCCTGACCAACATTTTTAGTGTCTCTACTAAAAATACAAAAATTAGCCAGCTTGGTGGCACACGCCTGTCATCCCAGCTATTCAGGAGGCTGAGGCAGGAGAATTGCTGGAACCCAGGAGGTGGAGGTTGCAGTGAGCTGAGATCTCTCTCGCCACTGTACTCCAGCCCGAGTGACAAAGCAAGACTTGGTCTCAAAAAAAAATAAATAAAATATTTTATCTCGAGTGTCCTTCCTTTAGTGCCCTTTCTCTTTTTCTCTCTCTCTTCCTCCCTCCCTCCCTCCACATTTCTCCTCCTTATGCTATGTCTCTGTGAGAAGGACCCTTCCTCCTATCTGTCCTGTCCTCTCACTTGTGGCTCAGAGGGGTGCCAAATGAAGGGGGACATCTGAGAACTGCTGTGTCTTGTGATTCAGGGAAACTCAAGAGTTGTTTCAAAATCATGCCTTTCACCCCCCTCCTTAACCAAGATAAATTCCGGTGGAATTATAGATACCAGTGTAAAAAATGAAACCCTTATAGAACTAGAACACCCGGATAAATAATTTTAGATTCTCAAAACAGAGAAAGCTTTCTAAGTGTGGTGGGTATACATCCAAGTCAACAAATTAAGGAATACAGGAACATGTCTTTTTTGTTGTTGTAACTTAATTTGTGTTTCAAGCATGCTGGTGGAGCCCCAACTCTATGAGTTAGGGGCTGTGCCTGAATCCTGAGCCTTCAACGGTGTTGGCAGAGGGGGTCTGGCCTGGAGTACTTGGCTTAAGGGTCACTCTGTCAGTATTATTCGAGCCCTGGGTTCAGCAATTCCCTCTGGCCATCTGCCCTCTTCGAAGTCAGCAGCCTCTATGCACAGGTGCCTTCAGGTACAGCAATGCCAGATGCAGCAAACAGCGAATGAATGGATACATGAATGATGGGCATGCGGTTAATTTGAATTCCAGACAAACAATGAAATAATTTTTAGTGTAATTGCATCCCAAATATTGACAGCCCCTCCCCACAAATCATTGCATATCTGATATTCAAACATATTTATTTTGTTTTTGAAATTTAAATTAAGCTGGGCTTCTCGTATTTTATCTGGCAGCCCTATCAGTAGGATGGCTATAACCACCATGACCGCCTGCCTCTTCTTTTGCCTGTGGGAGTCAAGAGAGGGATGAGGAGAGAGACCAAGAAAGACACCAAGGGAGGCACTGGGAGGGTTTCCCCACCAGCCACTGAGTAGACGCCTTTTCCTTGGCCTAGTGGAGCCATCTTGGATCACGTGCTCAACTCTGAGCCAATCACAGTCCCAGGGGCAGGCCCTGCCCCTGAGCCAATTGCTGGCCAGGGTTTGTGGGACCCTGATTGGCTGAATCCTTGACTGTGCCTTAAGTGGGTCTTTAAATTCGAGATCAAGATAAATGTCTGCAACCTGGAGAAAGTACTCTTGGCCAAATAGAAAAAAAAAAAAAGATTCTGGGTCCTCTTTTTGTTAGGATTTCTTCAGATGACTCTTGAGATAGACTTTGATGGAGTGGTTCTATCTTCCCTCCCCTTTTTTCTTTCCCTCCCTCCCTCCCTCCCTCCCTCCCCCCTTCCTTCCCTCCTTCCTTCCTTCCTTCCTTCCTTCCTTCCTTCCTTCCTTCCTTCCTTCCTTCCTTCCTTCCTTCCTTCCTGTTCTGCGAATGGAGCAGGTTCTATCTTTCTGACTTTGCCTGAAAGACTGAAGCAAGTGAACACTAGGGATAACATTTTTTCCATGAGTAAAATCACCCTAGCAGGACGATAACTGTGGTTATGTATAACTCAGGGGAGTTCCAGAAATAAACAGTGCATGCTGGACCTAAGTGTGTCCTTGCAAATAGCCATGACACTGAGCTTTTCTTTCTCTCCCTCCCTTCATTCCTTTTCCTTCCTTCCTTAAGCAAAAGGGTGAAACCAGCTTGTGACATTTTCCCGCTGGCAGGGGACCTAGGGAGATGGGGTTGAGGGAAAACATGAGGATTGTAATCAAATGTTTAACTGGTTTATTGAGTAGTCTCAGACTCGAGGGATATAAACATGAAATGGTTTTACATTTTCTCTAATCAATGCCTTCAGCTATGCTCTGTCAAACTCCACTTTCTATCTCCAAATGACATTTTCAGCAGATCCTATATTATTTTCCTGATCATTTGCAGTTATTAGAAAGCCTTCTAGTTTTAAACCACAACCCCATGTCTAATCCAAAGCTCTCAGGTCCCATTCCCCCTGCAGCAGCCCAGCTGTGGCTCTGAGATAAGAATGGAGGCACTCCCCACCTCTCTCTGAGGCTCTGGTACCACCGGCCCTGGGTTTGTCTCCATGGAGATGGTGTGCCCATCACTCCCCATCCCCCACCACATTTCCTGGAGTGATGTTCAGACTGATGCTGGACATCTCCATTACTGAGGATGCCTTCAGAAAGGAGTGTCCAGCCGGCTGTGTGGCTCACACCAGTAATCTCAACACTTTGGGAGGTCAAGGCAGGCAGATCACCTGAGGTCAGGAGTTCAAGACCAGCCTGGCCAACATGGTGAAACCTCATCTCTACTAAAAGTACAAAAATTAGCTGGGCGTGGTGGCAGCTGCCTGTAATCCCAGCTACTTGGGAGGCCAAGGCAGGAGAATCGCTTGAACCCAGGAGGTAGAGGTTGCAGTGAGCCAAGATCACACCATTGCACTCCAGCCTGGGTAACAAGAGTGAAACTTTGTCTAAAAAAAAAAAAAGAAAGGGATGTCCATGTTTCTCTTCAAGCTCTGCCAGTGGTCCATGCCCTTACCACCTTCTCTGGGTAAGGTGTCCCTTACTGAGGGCACCCTGGGCACTGGACAGGTCATGGCTCCTGCCTCCCCTCAGTATCATGGTCATTCACCTGGAGCCTGGAGCTGCAAGAATCAATGAGGTCCTCTGCAATGGCTTCCTTTTTTTTTTTTTTTTTTTTGAGACAGAGTTTTGCTCTTGTTGACCAGTCTGAAGTGCAATGGAGTGATCTCAGCTCACCGCAACCTCCACCTCCCAGGTTCAAGCAATTCTCCTGCCTCAGCCTCCCAAGTAGCTGGGATTACAGGCGTGTACCACCATGCCCGGCTAATTTTGTATTTTTGTAGAGATGGAGTTTCTCCATGTTGGTCAGGCTGGTCTCAAACTCCCAAAGTGCTGGGATTACAGGCGTGAGCCACTGTGCCTGGCCCTCTGTAATGGCTTCTAAGTGCTGCAAACATATGGGGTGAGGACCCCATCCTTCTTTCCTGTGTAATTGCATCACAGTTCCCACTTGCACAGCCATCACCAGTTGCACCAGTCAGATTCCTTCCAGATGGGAAGCAGACCCGGGTTTCTATGCTCATATATACACTATATTCCTGGGAACCCAGGCCACGCTCCTGGGCACACCCTCTCCACGCCCCAGGCTGTCCTGAGAGCAGGAATAAAGGAGACGGCAGACTCTGTAAGCGACCGGCAGGGAGTGAGCTGCCCGTGGCCTCTGCTTGCCGGCACCCCCAGCCTTGAAGGGTTATCTTCCTGGAGCCCCACTTGTTTGACTGGCCTGAGAGGGAAACACAGCCTGGGTTGACCTGGGTTTTGGGGGAAGAGCTCCTGGCCCCTCCCTCTGCTAGAATGACGGTAGATAGAATAAAACCACAATATGTTAAACATTAATAATCCAAACAATTCCTATATATGATTTCATTTACAATGATAAATATTCTACTGTTACTGCCATCTTATGATAAGAAAGTTGAGATTTGGCCAGGCACAGTGGCTCACACCTATAATCCCAGCACTTTGGGAGGTCGAGGCAGGCAGATCACATGAGGTCAGGAATTCGAGACCACTCTGGCCAATATGGTGAAACCCCGTCTCTCCTAAAAATACAAAAATTAGCCCGGCATGGTGGCATGTGCCTGTAATCCCAGCTACTCGGGAAGCCGAGGCAGGAGAATCACTTGAACCTGGGAGGCGGAAATTGAAGTGAGTTGAGATCATGCCACTGTACTCCAGCCTGGATGACAGAATGAGATCCATCTCAAAAAAAAGAGAAAGAAGTTGAGATTTAAGGGGATGAGTAATTTGTTCAAGATTGCACAAATGGAAGGGTATATTAATCAGTTTTGCTCCATAACAAAGAAAGTTCATACATCTCCATGGCTTACAGCAAAGCTGGGCAAACTCCTGCCGGTGAGACACTTCCAGCCTACTGCCTACTTTTCCGTAGCCCATGAGCTAAGAATAGTTTATGTTTTTAAATGGTTAAAAAATCAGTAAAGGAATATTTCCTGACACAAAGAATTATGTGAATTTCCAATTTTAGTGTCTACAAATAAAGTTTTATTGGACCCAGGCACGTTCATCTGCTTCTGTGTTGTTTGTGGCTGCCTCTGCGCTGCAGGGGCAGAGTTGAGAAAGTGCATCTGAGACTGTCTGACCCTTCACAGGAAAAATTATGCCAACCCCTGTGAACATTTATTTTTCTCACGCACAGTTCTCTGGATTGGCCGGGATCATCTCCACATTGCGGGTTGGGTTCAGGTTGGCTCCAATCTCATCGTTCTGGGCCCAGCAGCCACCCAGGGCATATTCTTCTCCTGGCAGATGGAGGAAGCACGGGAGAGACAGGCAAGAACATATGAAGGCCAGGTTCATGGTCATTTCCTCCCACTTACACATACTCTGCCCATTCTAGCAAGAGTTGCTGCAGGGTCATGCTGGGAAGGATGGAAATTTGTCATTCAGAGACCAGGAGGGAGTAAAGAATTGGAAGCGAGGATGTCAGTGACTGCAGTTGGAGGGTCAGGATTTGAACTCAGGGCTGGCTGACTCAAGAGTCTGTGTGCTTGTTCCTCTGCTACATGGACTCCTGTCCTAGACAAACTATTAGGTTAAGAAAAAAAGAGTGGGCTGTGGGGCCGGGCGCGGTGGCTCAAGCCTGTAATCCCAGCACTTTGGGAGGCTGAGGTGGGTGGATCACAAGGTCAAGAGATCAAGACCATCCTGGTCAACATGGTGAAACCCCGTCTCTACTAAAACTACAAAAAATTAGCTGGGCATGGTGGCGCGTGCCTGTAGTCCCAGCTACTCAGGAGGCTGA